CCGCATGCCGCCGCCTCATCCGCCTGGTAGAGCGGGGAGCGCTCCTTGAGCTGCTGCCGCAAGGACTTCCACCGATCCTCCAGCAGCTGCTTCACGGGGTCCAGCTCCAGGCGGTCCAGCTGCGGGCGGGGCACCAGGTGAGCCCTCAGGCGGCAGGTGGGGGCTCTGCGGGCCGGAGAGGTGGCCTTGCCCTAGTCCAGGGGCCCTGGGGCCTCACTGCCCTCACCTTGCTGTCCATCTCGGTCAGGAGCCGGTCCAGGATCTTCTGCCAGTCCCGCTCCTGCCCGCTCATCTTGGCCACCAGCTCCTGCATCATGTGGTTCAGCTGCTCCGTGGTGGCGTCAAACTGCATGCGGCTCACTTTGGCCTCCAGAGCGCTCTTGTCGGCCTTCTGCCCGGAGAGAGGAGGAGGCCGCCCGATGGGAGAGGGCCGTGGAGGGCCCCTGGAGCTGTCACCCTGACACGGAGCCTAAATCCTCCCTCTCCCCTCACCCCCCGGCTCCCCTCCACCTCTGACCTCCCAGGCAGGAGGGCCCCTCAGCTGGCCCTTACCACTTCAATCTCCATCTCCAGGTGCCCCCTGTTGACCTTTTCCTTCTCCAGCTTCTCCAGACCCTGGTACAGCACCTGGGAGGCCAAGGAAGGGAGAATGAGGAGCCAGGAGCTGAAGGGCAGGGGTGGCTGGAGGCACGCCGCCCGCTGCCCCACCCGCCCCCGCGGCCCTCACGTCGATGTCCTTCTGCTTCTGCCGGTGGTCCTCGATGAGGTTGCCGGTGATGAGGTTGAGCTTCTCACAGTCGCCCTGCACCTGCAGGATGGCGGTCTGCACGTGGCCCAGCAGCTCCTCGTCCTGCGGCGGGAGGGACCAGGGCCGCTCACGGAGGCGGCTGGGGCTCCCCAGGGCCGTCCTGCTGCCCCCGAGAAGCTGACCCTTAAAACATCACCCAGCCCGGCAGGTGTGGCTCAGTGGTTGATCATTGACCTATGAACTAGGAGGTCACGGTTCGATGGCCAGTCAGGGCACATGCCAGGCTGCGGGCCTGACCCCCAGTGGGGGGCGTGCAGGAGGCAGCCCATCCATGATTCTCTCTCATCACTGATGTTTCTATTTCTCTCTCCCTCTCCCTTCCTCTCTGAAATCAACACAAATATATTAAAAACAAAACAGATCACCCAGCGGATCGGCCAACCTCCAACCCATTGGTTGTCTCCACAAGCGGGAGGCTCCCACGCTTTCTCTGTGACCCCCCAACCCCGACAGAGCCTCAGCCCTGCCTCCTTGGGGGGCCTGGTCGGCCAGTGGGGTGATCAGGAGAGCTGACCGAGGCTCAGAGGGGTGACCTGCCCTGCGGCCCCGAGAGTCAGCATGTGAGCTACAGCCTCCCCGCCTGCCCAGGGCTCACCAGAGCCCAGGATCCAAGAGGCAGGAGGCAGGGCCTCGTGCCTGTCCCCACCCGCCGCAAGCCTGCCCTTTGGAGGGAAGTGGGAAGCGGCCTGGGAGGGAGAGTGGGTGCTTCCTGAAGCTGTGCGGGTGCCCCTACAGCTTGTGGGGGGCCCTGTTCCACCCCATCCAGCTGTGCCTTCCCAGCCCACGGCCCCGCCTCCCCAGCACTACTCGCTGGCACCCTGTGGGAGGACCCGGACTTCTGTGGGGTCCATCATGGAAACCTAAGCCAAGGGACTCCATCCGCCACTCCCCGCGCGGTGCGGCTGCCCCGGGAGCCGCGGCTCACCTGTCTCTGGAGCTTGGCTTTCTTGGATGGCCGCGAGGCCGCCAGGCTGGTGACCATGTGCTGGAGCTGCTCGTAGCGCTGCACCAGCGTGCTGACCTGGTGGCTCAGGTCCAGGCTGCAGGCCGGGCAGGTGGCCTTGGGGTCAATCTGGCCAGGGATCAAGGTGACTGGGGGCTTCCGCGGGGTCATGCTCATGGTCAGCAGCGTGGACGACGAGGCCAGCATGTTCTCGATGATCGTCCTGAGCTTGTCCAGCTGGGTGCGGGCGGGAAGGCAGGCGCAAGGCAGTGAGCGAGGCACGGACACACACACACACACACACACACACACACACACACACACACGGAGGAGGAACGGAGGGGGACAGCCAATTCTGAGAAGGGCCTTGGTCCCTGTGCTGAGAGCGTGGCCTCACCTGGTTCTGCAGGTAGAGGGAGGCCTCAGTGACCGAGTGCTCCATGTTGACCTTGCCCTGCTCCTGGCTCTCCCTCAGGTCGGACAGCTCCTTCTCGATGTCGTTCACGCTGACTCTGTGGCACGAGAGACGGCCTGGCTCACCACCAGCCCCCGTGCTGAGCCCGGCCCTCAGGGATGGAGGGGGATGGACCAGGGCCCGGTCCCAGCACGCTGGGAGCCCGCAGCCCTGCTGTGCCAGCCCTGGGCCCTAGTGAGCACTCCCTTCCAGCTCCCCCTGGGGACAGTCCAAG